AATATGCTATACATGAAACAAAAAAAAAGGATGATGAGCTGTGAAAATACCCATTTAAGAAGTTCAGAATCTTCTATAAAAGTAGCTGAAATTGAGTTATATTTTGATAGTGCTTTTTCAGGGAGGAGATTATCTCCCATCTCCTCACTTGCTCATTCAGAGGATCCCAAACGAGCAGGTCTGGTGTGCACAAAACACGTGCTGAACTCAACAGTGCAGTTGGGATACAAATCCACTTTAGTGTGCGCTCAGCTGAGCTTGGTGACACCCTAGTAAGTTGAGGTTCTGCTGCCTTTGCTCCACTGATGGGTGGGAAAACCTACTTCAGTGACCTCAAAAGTCTCATCAAGCCCAGGTCATCATGCTCCACAGCTTTGGCTTGTCCCTATTCGTGACTTCTCTGAAGTCTGTGCCTAGACTTACATTTTAACTAACTTGTGCTGTAACAACTGTTGATTGGAGGGTATAAGACAGAGTCTGTCCCACTAAGAAACAGTGGTCTGTGGTGGGACTTGCATAATCTTTTGACACTGTTTATTAAGAGGACAGATACAGGGAGGTTTCTGATTATGTTTAAACTGGTTCATTATCATGGCATCATTTTTTAATGTTTTCTTTTTTCTCTTTGAAAATATGTGGAGAGTCAAATAGAGAATATAAAAATTTGGCTTGCTATGCCAAAATCATAATAAATTGTTATAAAAATAGCTCATTTTGTTCCACCTCATTGTCTTCTGAGGCCTGGTACAAGTTAAAGGCTCCTAAAAAATAATATTTTGCTGTTATTATTTCTAGCGAGACTTCTATAGAGCTCGTCCTAATAAAGCCCCCATTCAGCTGTTTGTCTAGTGAAATTTGTAATGTAGGAACAATCTGCTTTGGGAGCCAATTCATCCCTGAAGGAAGTGGGTATTGTAGTCAGTCAACGAGATTGCCCCTACTTACACCACAGATAAATGTGTTGCTTTGTCCTGACATTTCTGCTTTGCAATAATTTCACATTCCAAATTATAAACCTCTGAAAATTGTAGATTGGAATAAATGTGCTGACACAACTTCAACTGTTAGGGTAAATGGCATTGCTCTAATAATGAAATAAAAAAATCCTACTTAATCCCATTCTTTCCCTAAAGTGGTGTTTCGCATTAGCCATGGATGAAAAGACAAACAAGTACATGTATATTCAATAATAATGTCAGCTGAGTCAGAGAAGAATAGGAAATAAAATGAATTCATAGCACCTCTGGAAATAGCTTTCTGATACAGGCAGTTTTCTGTTTGATTTGCCCTCATTGACAGTATTCATTGTAAGTTTAACATTATTAATAGCTGACCTGATCTTCATAACAAATATATCCTGTGTTCTGCAGTCTGGGTGTTTCTGAGGTTAACAGTTACAGAGAGCAGAACAAATCAAATGCGTATTTACAGGGATCTCTCACTCAAGAGGGCCTAATTTCATGATCAAACCATCCAGACAGTGTTTGTAATAGCTGTAGATACAGAGTTCCTGTGTCTCAGGGCTGTGAAGCTGAAATGGGTTACCTCTCCAGGTATGACAGTGAAATAGTCACCTTGGATTAAGGTTGCTGGCAATCTTAAAAGCCCTTATTGGGCTTTGAGCATGATCAGATGCTACTTGCTTATAAATGAGAGTTAATAGAAACATTAAACAGTACAAGCTACTGTGACCCATGTCTTCAGAATATTAAGCACATTTTAAAATTGTGGAAGACCATCTAGTCTTCTGCTGTCTGTAAAATATTACCTCTTCTAAGCAATATCCTCTGGGAGCAGGTTATTTGAACCCTTCAACATTCTACTTTCATTTGCACTTACAGTGTATTTTTAATTTATTCCCTCACTTCTCTGGCTACCATATATTCATTGTTGATACCATACTAGTTTCTCTTCAATTATTCCATCTGCCAGGAGAGTGTGATGCATTTTAGAAGCTGTGTGGTTTAGTTGTTTAACCTTTGAGTTTTGTAACTGAATGGGGTGACATATTCTTCATTTAGCAGAACAGGATAAGAAGAATTATATACTCCAAGTGATAAGCTTGGAACTGCTAAAGAAATACCAAAATCCAATTTTTTTTCCTCTCTCTAGTCATCTGAACATCCATTAGTCTCTTGAAGGAACTCATAAATCCTGCAAATTTAGTTTATCTGAAACCAACTCTAACAGTTGTCCTTCCTACTAATCATGTTTTATATCCATTTTATATTTTTCAATATTCAATAAATATGTCTTGTGCTTACTGTACTTGTTAGAAAATGTCTGCAGTATAGCCTGTATGAGGATAGTTATTAATCAGCCATTTCAGATGGCTGTTTGGTTAGTTTAGTAAGTGTATCCATTTATCTTTTTTATGTTTTCTTTGTTCTTTCCATTTATCCAATATGGGATTTCCTTTGTCCTTTTTCGTTTATTTCTACCAGGATACGTCAAAAAGGAATTTAACATGTAACAAATGAGAAAAAAAAAAAAAAAAGCCCAGTAGCTGGAAAGGAAGGAAAAAAACCCACCACCCTTTGGGCTTCATTCATGAAAAGATCCTTTATATTATGTCCTCTTAGATCTGCATTAAAAAATAATAATAGAACGCATTATCTGGCAGCGCTGCTTTAAAGCAGCGGATAATTTACACATTAAAGTGAGATGTAGGTTTAAAAGTAGGAGTGTAGGATTGAATTAAGAGTTAAGAGACAGAATGATATAGTCCTGTATGAAGATGGTCTCAGTTTCCTGGGGGTATTGTCCTTCTGGTATGTAATGAGACTTGCAGATAACAGTCTGGGACTGTGGATAGATCAAGGTACAGCGATATACTGAGAATAGCACAGAAAGTAATGGCACTGGGGAAACAAATGAATGTGTCTGCTAGATAAACAACACTGAAAGTTCCTGTTCATCACCAAAGTCCAGGCCTCTGAAGATTAATATTTCATGAAAAATTCTGTGTTGGGTTTGCATGGCAAGGGTTTGGAAGCAGGGAGGGTTGCAGGGGGGGGGTTGACCTTGAGGGGGACCTGTGCTGGAGCAGGGGAAGAGTATGAGGAGTCCTCTCCTGGGGAGGAAGGAGCAGCAGAGAACATGTGTGATGAACTGACCACAACCCCATTCCCCATCTCACTCCTTCACTTGGGAGGGAGAGGTGGAGAATTCAGGAGTAAAGTTCAGCCCAGGTAGAAGGGAGGGGTGGGGGGAAGGTGTTTTAGGATTTAGTTTTATTTCTCATTACCCTACTCTGATGTGATTGGTAATAAATTAAACTAAGTTCTCAAGTCGAGCCTGTTTTGCCTGTGACAGTAACTGGTGAATGATCTCTCCCCATCCTTACCTCAACCCACAATCCTTAGTCATATTTCCTGTTCCCTGTCCAGCTGAAGAGGGGAGTGACAGAGCAGCTTTGATGGGCACCTGGCATCCAGCCAGGGTCAACCCACCACAAATTCTTACTTTTAGAAGATTCTTTACCCATGCCACAGTTCTTTTATGGGTTCACGTATTACAGGGAGGCATCTGCCATTTATCAAGACATTAATGACTAGTAGTTATGTGTGCAGATACTTTGTAACCACTGAGCTGCCCGACAACAGAGGTCACAGAAAGACAGATGGCTTACAAACCAGTTTAAAGACCTCTTTGCACTTTCTCATTTTAAGAGCATCAGCAGGGCTTCAAACCTTTTGATATTTCCACGTCTGGATTATTGTCCCCTCTTTAAAATTCCTTGTACCAGGGGGCTTCCATGATTTACTGGTAGTCTTCAAACAGAAAAAAACCTTCCTAACAGAACATCCATTGATTGCTACAGTTATTTAAAGGCTAACAATAAAAAAATCATAGACTCCAGTCTCCATCAAGGCAGCAAGGAAACAGTAATTGCAATTTGCGAGCCTCCTGCTGTGGGTAAAGGAGCTCGGGCTGGGAGAAAGGAAGCTCAGCGATTTTAGTGGCTGTCTCAGTGGATCTGGATGAGATGTGCCAATTCATCTGTATGTTATCCTGTGATAAGAGAATCTGTCAAGGTGAAAAGATGGGTGTGAGGTAGGAGTGTACCCAAAGGAATATCTTCTCTGAGAAGGACCACCAGATAAAGGCGTGAATGTATGAGAAGCTATATGGGAGTGTATTTGGTGGCTACTAGTCATGCCTCTCTGGGTAGACAGACCTCGAAAGAGGCGTTTTCTGCCAAAATGTAACAGCAAATAATATGGTTTCTTACCCCATATGTTTTGTCATACCCAAGTCTCGGAACGAAAAGAAAGTGGTAATGAGTTTTAATATAGTAACATGAATTACTCAACTCTTTTTTCTGCCAAAGGAAAGGAAGGTGGTACTGGGACAGCCACATCTTTTAAGAGTTTTCTTCCCCTATAACCAAGGGCAGGGAACAGTCATGTGGGATTTCCTTGTACTTAAATAAAAATGGGGATATGAATTAGCAGATTCCTAGCTTGGAAAACGTTTGCTCTGCCTTCAGATACCAACAACTGTGAGGTCACATCAGACCTCACACAAGATCCTCCTTTTCTTGCTGTTTTCCACACCATTCTCGTTTTGATAAGATGGGAATTGGTGCCAGCCTCCAAGAAGATCAATGATGCCCTAGATCAAGAAAGAGACGTGGACTTTTTCTCAGGTTCTTCAACAGTCTCAGAGCTGAATTTCACTTCCACCTTCTGATTTAGAAATATACATAGGTGTATATGGTAATCACTGTGAGACAATGCACAAATAAAAGAGGACATGAAAAAGGAGCTGCCAAACTTTATGATGGATGAGCCTCAAAGTCAATTTGTTCTCACGTAGCATCACACAGGACTACTACATACATAGAGTATCTATCAGTTTAATTCCAACAGGTCTGATTTTGTTCTTCTGGAATTGAAAGGGAGTTTTTCCTCTGATTTGCCGAAGGGTAGACTCAGCCCATTGTATATGAAGTTAATTCATTAAATGTAATTCTGTATTGCTTACTGTCTTTTCAGAATGCTTGAGGATGATCTGAAACTCAGCAGTGATGAAGATGACAATGAACAGGTAAATACATCTGTATAGGTGCATAGACCATATAATCTGACAAAGTTGTTTCATCAGTTGAATGTGATTGTATGTTGGTTTACTGTATTTGAATCAAAAGCATTTTGGGATGCAGCAGAATCCATTAACTTAAATCTTGCTTGCACATAGAACCTCTGTGGAAGGAGACTTATTCTTAAATAGGAGTGCATTTTGTCAGTTTTGCTGAATTAACTTTGTGAAGTAGATTAAATTAAACCAAAACATAACTTCCTAGCCTTGGAATTAGAACCCACACATGGCATCACCCAGGAATAGCTAACGTGCTCTGCATTTCTGTCCCTCATTGTACCAAGCTGTCTCTGGAACAGCTTCCACTTGTTTTGCACTCGATTTCTGAAATTGATTACTTGTTTGGAAATGGGTGTAAAATGACCACATCAGACCACCAGCACAACTGCAGAGTTGGTTTGCACTGTACAGTTGCACCTGAGAAGATTGGGTCTGTAAGAGTCCATAGTAATCCACTGATTCCCAATTGTGAGAGGAGAAAATCCTCTGTGGAGCTGTAAATCAGTACTGAAACTCTCTCAAGCTATTTGGGATGTTAATGAAGAATCATTTTCAGAAATCTTGCTCATATCATTCTCTATTCTTCCTACTTTATAAATATTTATGGATAATGCTTGGAAAGAAGGCTAGTGAAATTCATATTATCAACATTCCTATAAGAAAAAAAAAAACGAAAAAAACCAAAAAAAAAAAAAGAAAAAAGGTTTTGGGTTAAATTCCTCTTTCATGTTACTTTATACATGCAGTAGGCTCAAATGTTTAAACATCTGCAATGGAGAGGAAGATAATGCTATAATTATGCATAAGATCATCTATTAATCCTGGGAAATGTTAATTATAAGTCTGTCTTTCTTTCTTACTTATTTTTAAACTACCTAAATGTTCTCCTTCAAAACACCTAATCCCCCCTTTAGGGTCATGACAGGAAAGATTTCCCTTCTAGTGTCAGTTGACCCCTTAAGTCAGTTAGCACCAAGTTAGACTTGTGCTCTCTTCTGAATCTGAAAAATCAAAAGCCTGTACTTGTGCAATGTGATGTTGTATAAACGTGGTGGCCTATGAAACCAGCAGATTTCCTGATCTATTAGGAACTTGGCCAAATAGTCCTGTAAAGTGACATTGTGATACTGAGATGCCCAAAATACAGAAATGGAGATATATTACCATTCCACTGACTGTGCCTTCAAGCTTTAGCAGCTTCTGCCTTATCTCTTTAAAGGAGTATTGGAAATGGCAAAAAAGGTTGATCTGGCCCACTGATCAGGCACATAAACATTAGCAAAGTAAGTGCAGTGGTTTCTGACTGCAAAGTATATTCTCCAGAAGGTATATAAAATATTCATTCAAGAGGGACAGATCAAGGCAATTAGAAAATATGAACTTTACAGTGTTTATTGTTCAGCTGTGGAGACCAAGGTTAGAAAAATACTTTTTTGGTTTTTAACATAAAGATTTTGCAGCCAAATGACCATTGTAATTCAGCTGTACATACATGTGCATTCTGATGGGGAGAGAAAAAATTAAACCTCTCCACTCAAAATCATTCTAGCAGTTCATACAACATTTCTGTAAGGAAAATAGATTCTATGGAGTCATTGTCCTGATAATATTTCTGACTTTTTTTACTGTAGGCTTGAAGCCAGTGTGAAGCATGAGCACTAGCATTTGCTCATTTTTATCAGTAAAAACATAGTATGTAAAAATAAATTGTCTTATCTTTATTTCTACTTGTATTTCAAGGAAATTTAAATTTTTTGAGAACAGTGGTCAGTAGGGAGCCCTAGGATTTGTTCTTTGAGAGTTGCTAGGGACCTTTCAGTCTCTACACAGCAGGGGCAGTAGTGACACTAATACATAAATGCACCTTGATCTCAACTTTTAGTGAGTGTCTGTAGTATCGAGAGAGTTTGATCTATCAGCCTGTCTTCTGAGAGTACCAGTAGTCCATTTATCATGGTGGAAGACTGTTAGAAGCTTGTCTGCAAGAAACAAAGCTTTTCTGACTTACCCTTTCCCTCCTATGAATGAGCACATTTATATCTGCATTTATTTAGGGGTTCATGGACCTTGTGCTCTTTCAGGTGTTAAACTTTTCCCTCCTTCTCTCCCTGAGGAGAAACCCAACACACAATAGCTACGGTCGACCATACAATTGAGAGGCTGAACCCAGTTTCTGGATAGGATGAGAACTACCAGGTTGAAGTCAGTGGAAGGTATTTATTCTATAGATATCATTAGCAATGCTGTTACTAAACATGCTGCCCGCTTTTGGTATTCATTTGTCAAACAGGATTTTGGATAGCAGGAAATTGTTCCTAAGAGATACAAAAATGCTGTGGAGAAGCCTCCTTAATTTAAGTGTTAGGTCTTTTTTGGTTCAGGCCCACATGATGATGGCCTAGCAACATATATCACCAAGAAAAAGCTTCCTTGAAAGGAGGCTCTACACTTTAATTTCACCCTAGAGGGCTTGTGAAGCTTCAACGCGTGAGAGCTGACTAGAAATCCAAACCACTAGTGCCAAGCTGCTGCAAATTGCATGGAAACCCTGTGTATCCTTCCTTCTCCTTTCAGACTTCTGGCAGCTGTGGGCTTGATGTAGAAGTGGTCAAGTGAGTTGCATTGGGCTCTGACAGGCAGGAAGTCCAATGAGATGTTCATTGCAGACTTCAGATCTGTAAAGGTTTGGACCATATTGATCACTGCAATAGAGCATGAGGCAAGTTACAAGTCTCTGACCCCAGCTGCAAACTCCTGTCATCACATTTTGGGCTTAAAGAGACTGCAGTTACTGCCTACATATAAACGCACCCCACAGCATCTTCAGCACAGACACTTCGGAGCTGGCCATATGACACATGCGTTGTCCCATAGACAAAATGCTGATTCTTATGTCTCATTGTGAGTGATTTGGGATTAAAGACACAGAGAAAACGACAGGTTAGATCTAGAATCAATTTTCATTTACAGCTCAGAAGCAGTTATTGATGCTGTACTCGCAGTTCAATATAAGATCTAAAGATATAGACCTTGTGTTTCTCTTTCAATATAAGCAGCATAATCAGTGTCAAATATTTTTACAAAGAAAATTGTATTGACAGTTTTATTAAAATTGCTGTCTTTAAAGTTTTAAGTTATCCACAATTTGACCTACTTGAATGTTTTTTAATATGCACACTGACCAACCCAATAGATTTTATGTCACATATTTATAATACTAGTACACATCTGTGTAATGTATTATTTGAGAGATATCGTTACATTTAAGCATTGCCTGAATTGTAAACTCCTGTGGTATTGTCACTGAGAGGAATGTTGGCATATGTATTGCATTTAGAAAAATATTGGTGCCCAATATTTTTAGGTTGACTATGAGAGATGTAGTCAAGGCAGATGACAGCCATGTGGTTGGTAAAACTATTAGATGACAAGGTATTTCAGAGATGCTAATGTTAATACTTTTCTGTGAGGAAAGACAGAGCTTTTAGATGGCTTTATTATTCTGTTAAAAAATACATCAGAAATTAGGAAGAATAGTGAAGATTTTTAATTAATGCCCATTTCAGCTGAAGGAGCTTAGATAAAACACAGGTTAGCACTTTTGTTCTTTAAAGCACCTCTGTATAATTCAAATTAGCTTTGAGCTCAAAGGCATCCAAACGACTTGTGCCTGGATGCAGTATTTTAAGTAGCTGTAGTGTACCCAATTTTCTTCAACCAGCTTCTCTTTGTTCTTCTGCCTAAGGAATAGTCCTGTTAACCTTTGAAATACATGCTTAATTTAAAGCACATTGCTAGCATTCTGTGTGTTTTTGAACCAAAGAAACTTTGATACTAGTTACAGACGTACCCCATTTTCAGTATTTTATGTATAAAGTGTTTCTGGCAGAACAAATCAATAAGATGTTTTTCCGATCTACTTGATTTTTTTTTCCTCTTTCCCTTAATGATTGCCACTTTGTTGCCACTTCTCTGATAACCACACAAACAGAAGACATGCACATAATCCCTGGCCCTGCTTTATCATTTGTATTTTACACAAACAGAATTATTCTTTTTTTGCTAGGTTACTATTAGGTAATTACATACAAAATGTTTCACTTTGTAGCTCAGCCTAAAAAGGTGATCTGCCATAAACTGAGCTTTGAATTCTTACAATGCATACTGAACTTTCAAAGCCTTTCTTCAAGTTAATATTTTTTTAAGTTTATGGAATTCTAAGACACAGTATGGCTTCATCATATCGTGGAAACACTTTTTAAAGTGGAACAGTGGCCACTTTTCTTCTAACAATAGGTATCCTTTCCTGTTGTAATTTTTCCCATTTTTAGCTGGATCCTGAACAAGCTGTTTACCTCCCCAAGGTTTCTCTACATTTCCGTTTATTTTGTTATCAGCAGAAAGTCTGAAGAACAGCTCTTCAGTAATGACATCAATACTGCACACACAGGGAGAGAGGTCATCTTGTCAAAGCTATAGAAAAACCAGATGGATTAGGATGAAACTAGGTGCAAAATAACTTTGATAGAGTCTTTTAATGTAAACAGTTTATCTGTCATTGGGTTGCATTGAAATCCCAGAGTGATGCAGCATCAGTTGTAGCCACAGCAGTGTGTGCTTTCATAAAGAACCCACAGCCTAGTGTTTAAGATCTATAATCATGTTTTGTAATTGTAAGGAAATGTTTTCATTGTGCCATTAATGAAAACAGAAGCTATTAGGATAATACAATCATTCTCCAACCTTGTCAGTCTATACCCATGAAAAATCCCTTCATGACGATGTCTCTTCTTGCTACCTCAGTCCATTGTAATTGATATTCTAATTATTTTATTCTGCACAACACTAGTTGAAACAACCATACATCATCAACTGTATCATCAACTATGTAAAATGAATAGTCAAGCTTCCCTTAGACAAATCTTTGGTAATAAGATATTTGATGGCTG